GGGACATTATTTTCATGTACTAACATCAGATCTTTCAGCCATTCTTCATTATCTTAGTGCAAATTTTTCCCCACTTGGGTACCTAGAAGAATTATACAGACGCCCAAAGTCCTTGCCCAAGTTGCCCTGCAGTCAAAACCACACCTCCATTTCTGCCCAATGCCTCCAAACACGTGGGCTCCATCAGCCATTGATCATCGTTGAGAGCTGCCCTACATAAATCATCATCTTTCCTACTATTTCTATATATGTACTTGTAAAAAAAATCTGATGTAGAAGACAGACAGTAAAATATTTATTTAAAACTTAATAAGGAATATACATGATGTTCCATTGTTTTACAAGCTTTGTCAGTTCTCTAAAAATCAGAGAATCCAAGATGTGTTTGAATGAGATGGAAGTGATTATTGTATGCAACATTGGAATGTACTGATTTCTGGTGAGGGTGAAAAATGTTTCACCTATGTTCCCCTGTTACCCTTAGGGAGCAAAAGGAAGAAAAACCTGTGGCCTCTGCTTCTTTTTCTTTTCTTTTTTTCCCGCGCTTTAAATGCTACTTTTTCATTTTTTTTGCCTGAAGCCCACCTCCTTCTCCGGCTTCAATTCTGATAGTCAAATTTGTGCTCTCTGTTTGCTTTTCTAACATATCACATTCACTTTCTTTTTGGGGGTCACAATAACCCAAATCTTTCTTTCTTTCTTTTTTGTTTTCATGCTCCAAACCACAATCACTCCCTCCAATTCCCTCTAATTTCATCTCTCCAAGATGGAAACAATCAAACCCAAATCAGCTTTTAACAACAATAGCAACAGCAACCACAAGAGCAGGCTAGCAAGAACCTTCCAAAAAGTCATCAACTTGAGGGCTGCAACAAAAATTGCTTCAAGCAATGGGATTGGAATCTGTGTTACTTCCCAACATAAATTCCCACAAGGTGATTCAACCCCAGATCACAAACTTTCTTCCAACGCGGACAAACATGGAGGGGACTCCAGGGTTAAGCAGAAAGCAGTTCTGGAAGCTCTGGTTGCCAAGGTTTTTGCTAGTGTTACTTCCATCAAAGCTGCTTATGCTGAGCTACAAATGGCTCAACATCCTTACAACAGTGATGCTATTCAGGCTGCAGACCAAGCTGTTGTGGAAGAACTCAGAGCACTTTCGGAGCTGAAGCGTAAGTTTTTAAAGAAAGAGCTTGATCTTTCGCCTCAAGTTACTTTGATGCTAGCGGAGATTCAGGAACAGCAAAGCTTGATGCGAACGTACGAGATCACAATCAAGAAGTTGGAATCCGATGTTGAAGAAAAAGATTCAGGCATTGCTTCACTTCATGAGCAGCTTGAAGGGTGCACTGCTTTTAACAAGTCCATGGAGAAGAAACTAAACGCCAGTGGACCTTTGTCAATGTTTGATAACATCCAGTTTACGACGTTGAATCCAAGTCATTTTGTGCAAGTTTTACATTGTACTTTGAGATCTGTTCGCAGTTTTGTGAAAATGATGATCAAGGAAATGGAGTTAGCCAAGTGGGATCTTGATGCTGCTGCTAAAACTATTGAACCCGGAGCTGTTTTCGCTAAACAAAGCCATAGGTGCTTTGTATTTGAATCTTTTGTGTGTAAAACAATGCTAGACGGCTTCAACTCCCATGATTTTGGGCTCACAAACGACTCTGCCTCCAAGAAGCTTGACCAGGAGCAGTATTTCAACAAATTCAAGAACCTGAAATCTGCTAACCCGAAATCCTTTTTAGTTCAAAATCCAAACTCTTGTTTTGCTCTATTCACCAGAACCAAGTACCTCAACCTGGTCCATGCCAAAATGGAATGTTCATTTTTCGGAAACTTGAATCAAAGGAAGATGGTTACCTCTGGTGGGTTCCCGGATACAGCATTCTTTACAGCTTTTGCAGAGATGGCTAGGCGCTTTTGGCTCTTGCATTGCTTGGGATTCTCATTGCATGAACAAGTTTCAGTCTTTCAGGTAAGGAAAGATAGTAGATTCTCTGAGGTTTACATGGAAAATGTTAGTGAGGAATCACTTTTCTCCAGTGAAATCAACGATGCAAATGTTGATATTAGAGTCAGTTTCACGGTGGTTCCAGGGTTCAAGATTGGTAAAACTGTGATACAAAGCCAAGTTTATTTGTCTCCGGTGATTACTCCACCGGTCAGTCGTTGATCTTCTTTTTTACATTTTTCCTTATGGAGAATTAATGTATAGTACTTCATTATTAAATGTAACATGCCGAGATGTTATCCACGCATGTGTTGGTACACGCACTGCTAGTGATAGGGTGGGGAGCTGAGTGCTATTTTCAAGTGGGGTTTGTGGTCACTTGAGAAGTGCAGTTGTCTCCAATGCTATGGGGAAGAACAGAGCGGCGCGTCGCGTAGCGCGTGAGTTCTGCTCTGTGGATTAAGAGTGGCTGGTACCACCTGCATCTGGACCCACAGCCCACAGTGGAACAAATTGAAAGAGGAGGCGCAGCTAGGATTATGGGGGAGTAGGGTTTTTCTTTCTCTTTTTAATTTTTAAAAAAAATAGTTTCATGATAGAGAAAGAGAAAAATGTTATGGAAGGAAGAAAAAAAAGGGTTCTCTGTTAATATAATAGTAATAAGAATATCGTGTTAAGCAATTTTGTAAGTTCATATGCCTCAAAAATCAGAGGCAAAGAATTGCAAGTTGCAGAGGATAAATATTTTAAAGCAAATATGAAGCTATGATTGCCTCTTTGCTGTAATGCATGAACAATCCCTATGTTTTCATATACGTCAATCTATCTGCTCATTCATATTCCTAGGATGGGAAATGACTTTTCCCTATTAGCGGGGAAAAGCTTTTTTGGTTATTTACTGTCTCCTTAATCCTGGTTAAGGCAAAACTTCACATCAAAATGAACAATTTTGACTTTGTGGTGCCCAATTTCTCAGCAGTTTGCCAGATCAAACTTTAACCTTTTATCTGGCAAGTGAGAGAAGATGAGGGGCAAAGAAGTTAAGTGAGGCTGTCTGTGGATGATTTAGTTGACAGATTTTTTGTGGTGGGGGGAAGCATTGTAGGGCCAAAATAATGAGAACTTTGCAGTCATAAGATGCCCATATTCTCTTTAGGGAAGTGGGTTTAGGCTGTATTTTACAAAATCTGAGCAAAGGTTCACGGGCCCTGCTATGAAACTTGCCTGATTCTGATGTAACGTTTAGCTCTGGTCTGTGTGCAACCCAACATGAACCAGGGAGGTCCTTCTCCTTCAGTTTAACCATGACTTACTCCTCTTTCATGATTCTTGGATTCTGGTTTTTCAACATACCCATGGTACAATTATTGTCCTCCGGAAACAAGAGGTGGTGCTTATTAAATTTGTCTATGCAGGAACAGGACATAAGTACTAGTAATTTAATTCACTCTCAACTCCCTCAAATTTGTACCCTTTCCATAACTCCAACAGCCAGGACAGGCTGTTGATTATTCTCATGTTCATTTAAAACTTACCACCAAAAACCAGGTAGGTGCTTCAATGAGGAATGTAGCAACTTAAAACATGGCCAATTAACAAGCAATTAAAGCATCCGAGGAGGAAAGGAAAAAATTGTTCCCAAATTCCAGGGAACTGTAAGCCATGTGAGAGGTGCAGAGGACATGAAGATGAAAACAAAGGAAGAAGGAAGGCAAATGAGACAAAATTACAAGACTTTAGAAATAGTATGGGTGTTAAATGCAGTAGGGCAGTGTCTACGGTTTGGTTGTAATTAAGAAAGAATGAGTTGGGTGATTGCTGATACTCCAATAGGAAATAAATACAGGCACTTACTTATGGTTATAGCTGGCATCTACGAACACCAAACCGCGAGTCATGTCATATGCTTGGCGCCAGGGTCCCATCTCCAATTAACTCCCCACTGTTGCCTGCCTATTCCCCTTCTCTTCTTGGTAAAATTTCTCTCATTGGTTTTGGAAAAATGAACGTCTTTCAAGGTGCAATTATTTTCAAACAAGCATTTAGAGGTGAACCATTCTGGGTTATAATCTAATTAATCAAATTAATAAAAAAATTTGATGTTTTCAAACGATTTCATTAATTTTCACAAAATATTTTGTCCATTCGATTAAAATAATTTTTTAAACTAAACCACCCAATTACACACATTGAGAAACATATCTTTTGCTTTTATATAATTGTTTTGAAAAAACGATATTTTCAAATAATTTAAGAGCGATATTACCGCTTTAACGTTTTAATTGTTTTTAGAAAATCGTTATTAGGTATCTATAAATTCTCGTCAAGATCAATTAAAATTTTATTTTAAGAAATAGCTTTTCATCTAATACACACTCATTGAATACAAAAATTAAAAAAAAAAGGAAAGACAATACAAATTATTGCAAAATACATTTTTAAATATATCATATCTAATTACCTATAGGTACTAGTTAACATTTTCCTTGTATTTATATTGCTAGCAACTAAGTTTTTGAATAATCATTATTTGACCTAGCTATGGTTGACTGATGTTGTCCGGATATATGTTTTTCTCGGAGGGAAAATACAAGAGAAAATAGGATACTTATGTCCCCAAAATCAAAAGAAAGATAGGGAATACCAGTAGAATGACCTAGATTAGGGCCTAAAATTTGATCACTTAACCTCCATTATTGCTGCAACCAAGCTTTGGGCCATTTGATCCCATTACAAGCTTTGGGTGCATCAGCTACCAGGCCCCAACTGCTGTTGTCTGGTGGTGATAATACTGCTCATCGATACAACTACTTCTGCATTTACATGGCTCTCGAGTTTTAATCCACATTATTGTACTTTCTGATTAAATTATTCATTCTTCATTTATTAGTTTTGATTTCCATTTATGTTTTAATTAAATAACTACAAATTCTTCTATTGGATTGATTTTCAATGAAATTCAGCAATCAAGTTACCACGAATTTGAAGAGTAGATTTTTTTATCAGAGAAGAAAGTAGAATTCTCTTAATTTTGAGATGAGAATTACAAATAATATTACCAAGAAATAGGATTTCAGCCATTGTCCAACAGTTAGCCATTGTCCAATTAGATAAACTAATTGCAATATTTCTATAAAATTTACAGATTCAATAAAGGGGAAGGAATGGATCCAATGTTAAGGAAAGAAATGAGAAGAACAAATTCACTCAAAAAAATAAGAAAGAAGGGGAAAAATCACATTTGTATATGTTCATTCAACAGGATGACTTTTCAACCAGCTGACACCTGCTAGTGAATTTAATGATACTTATCTGGCTGTACTGCAATTGAATACACACCATCTATGTGAGGGATGTTATGACTGCACAAAGGAAAGCTTAGTAACCTTTTCTCATGCATGAGACGGTAAGAGAGTTATTGATGCATCTCTTTCAAAATTCAAGTCTGTGTCTTCATGAATCAACCCAGCAGGTCCTCTCAACCCTTCCCTGTTAGAGCTCATGTGAAAAAATTCTCCATATCATTGATTCATCAGCTATGTTTCAATGGCCCAATAATCAGACTGAAGGCCATAGAATATCCTTTTCAACAGACAACTTCCAAACCAAGCACAAAATAATTTCTACCTTCATCACAGGTCAGGTATGGCGTTCTTCCCAACTGGCCTAAAGGATAACAGGCCTGAAATTTGACATAAAGCCAAGAAGAATATTTCAAAGGGAGCCTTCTGATCCAGTATCTGAGAAGGGTTCCGGGTCTGAAGCTTCTGCAAGGCCTTCGAGCATGTTTACAACCTCAGCTGGGTCATCCAAATAATACTTGGCTTTGCTGGGTTTCTGACCAACTGTGCAGGCAAAAACAGATGTATTAGAGGAGATGACCCCACTGGAAATTGCACTACTGATGATCTCAAACATCTCTTCATCAGATCTGTCATCGCCAATGCAGAGCACAAAATCAGCCTGCTTTCCATTCTCAGCCATGGTTGTGAAGATCTTTTCTGCAACCACACCTTTACTGACCCCCTAAAAGCAACAGTAAAAAGTTGATTTAACATCATGCATTTAATCAATCAATAAAGAGAAACCAATTATCTGACAGGCAACACCATCTAAATACAAGATTTACTCTATTCTTTCTATTTTACGCTTTTCTACCCCTTCTTGGCACAAAGAACAATCCCATTGTATTCTAAAATACTGCTATCAATGTAACCTGAGACTACTAACTGAGCTCAGGAGTAAGGCAGAGTTATCTGTTACACTTCCCAACAAAAGAGTAAGCCCATAAACAAACATTAAACCTAGTGTTTTTATAACAATTTGAGGTATTAAGCATACCGTAATAGGTCGGAATCATTAATGAGGAATGGTAGAAAATAATTTGCAACATTTTGAACCAGTTTTAACGTATTAGCTAGAAGAAAATGGCACAAATGACAAAGGACAGATTGCACCATTCCTAAAGTTAGAAAATCAAAACCAGAGTTAAGTAGATACCTGTGGTTTCACTTCGACTATAAACTGGCCACTTTTCACTGCAACAGGTTCATTTGCTAACACACTCTCCAGATGGTCTAACATCTCCTTTGCCTGGCTAGATCCAAAACCTGGATCCGCATCTCTATGGTGCCAAACCAACGCACTCTCCTTGTACTCGATATTGGAGCCATCAGTGGCCTCTGTATACAATTTCATAACAGGCTCAGCTATTTCCTTCCACCCAAATTCAATAGTCTGACCACAAATTTCCCACTCATCACTAGTAGACCACCTGAAACACCAACTTCAAAGTAAGTGCACCTGTTGAAGAAGCAGTAAAATGGGAAGAAAAGACACAAAAAATGTAAAACAGAAAAAGGAAGACATCACACCTCATGAAATAACCATGTTCAGCTGCAATTCCGAGTTTCTTGCATGGAGAAAACCACTTGCCTAAACTTTCTCTTCCTCTTCCACTTACTACAAATACAGTATTCTTGATATCACCAGAGAGAGTGTTTATGATTGAGATAACCTCTGAACTTGGGGTCTTGTTATGTGATGTTTGCGGCATTACCGTTCCATCATAGTCCAGTAATATAGCCCTGTTTTTGGACCTTAGATACACAGATACAATGTGATCAATAGACAACTTTCTGAAGTTAGGATCAAGAGCTACAACTCTGAACCCAAAGCTCAAACCAATTCCCCAACAACGTCTTCTAAAATGCTCTTTGCAAGTCCTTTCCATATCTTGGAAAAAGCTTCGAGACCAGAACGCCACATCATGCGAGCTAACATACCTATAATGCTTCTCATGGCGCAACTGCTTCTCAGCATCAGCCATTGAGATTGCCTCATTCATTGCCTCGGCAGTTGCTTCAATATTCCAAGGATTTACACGAATTGCACCACTGAGAGAAGGAGAGCAACCAATAAACTCTGATACCACTAGCATGCTCCTCTTGGGTCCACTTGATTCTGAGGAAGACCCTGATTCAGAGACTCCCTGCCGGCAAACAATGTACTCATAAGGAGTAAGATTCATCCCATCCCTCACAGCTGTGACCACAACACACTCAGCTACAGTGTAGTATGCAACCCTTTCACTGAGGGATACTGGCCTGTCAATGAAGACAATCGGGTCATAACCAGGTTGTCCAAAAGTGTCATTAATTCTGTTGCAGCTTGCCTGTATTTCAGCCTGTATCTCCTCAAGATCCTTCCCTCTTCCCCTGGCAGGGTTTGTGATCTGTACCAGAACTGCTCTTCCCTGCCACTTTGGATGCTGTTTCAGCAGCTGCTCCATTGCTAACAGCTTCAAGTTGACACCTTTAAAGACATCCATGTCATCAACTCCAAGCAATACAGTCTTTCCTTCAAACTGTTGTTTAAGCTCTCCTACTCTCCACTCCTTATCTGCAAGTCTCAATACAGACTCAATCTGCGCCATGTGGATCCCAACAGGCATGATCTTTATCCCAATTGTCCTTCCATAGTACTCCAGGCCAATATAACCCCTCTTTGACTGATATTCCAAACCTAACATTCGACTACAACAGGACAGAAAATGCCGAGCATAATCAAATGTATGAAAACCGATGAGGTCCGAATTCAAGAGTGCCTTTAAGATCTCTTCCCTCACTGGTAAAGTCCTATATATCTCAGATGAAGGAAATGGACTATGCAGAAAAAAACCCATTCTCAATCTATTAAACCTTCTCCTCAAGAATGTAGGCAGCACCATCAAATGATAGTCGTGGATCCAAACATAATCATCTTCTGGGTTTATAACCTCAATCACCCTTTGAGAAAAAATTTTATTTGCTGCAACATATGCCTCCCACAAAGACCTATCGAACCTGCCTCCATGATTTGCCGAAAATGGAAGCATATAATGGAAAAGTGGCCACAAATGCTGTTTACAGAAACCATGATAGAACTTTGTCAAAATGTCAGGTGGCAGAAATGCAGGGACACACTTAAACCTGTCCAACAACAGCTGTGAGACATCATCTTGTTCATTCGGATCAACATCAACCTTTAAAGAACCAACATACAAAACCTCCATTTCTTCAGGCAAGCCATCCTTTAATTGTAATAACAATGAATCATCATCCCAACTAAAACTCCACCCTTTATTATCAGGTCTACGCTTAGCTTTAACTGGGAGTTGATTAGCTACGATAATAATTCTGTCCTGAATAACCGAGGACGGTACATCTGAGCTCACACTATTAGCCTGATCATCATCAAGCTCTGAAATAACCCCAGGAACGGTCATTACCCGAGGCAGCCGTTTCTTTTCACGAGCTTGACCCATTACCGGGAAATTACCAGACGCTAGATCTAAAAGATTGGTATATGATCTTGACATCATCTTCAACCTCTTTCTTGGTTATTACCCTTAACAAGAATCAATCACAAAGATCTCAAACTATAAACAAGGCCCCTCAAAAATTTTTGGTTCTCTTCCAAAAATACTCTTTTAATTTGACACGATCTGCATTGGGTATAAAAAGAAATAAAAAACATCATCTTTACATGAACAATACTTAAGAATCAACAAAACAAAATAAACCCATGGATAAAATTAGATCCCAAAACAGGAAATAAAAACTAAAAACACCCAAATGAATATTATAAATTTATAACAGAATTCAATCAAAAGAAAACTTAAAGAGGCAAAACTTTTCAACCAGATGAACCAAAATAATGGGAATAAATTAAACAAAAATGAATCTTTGAAACTAACCTTAACCTTCCAAGCACAGAGTTTGTGTCTTTAATGGGAACCCCTTTGGATCCAAATATGAAATTTGGTTAAATAAATGCAAATTTTCGGGGAGGGTTTTCTTTGTGAAGGAAGAAATCTAGGGTTTGTTTTAGGTTTGTTCTGCTCCCCCCTTTATCTCAAGGAGCCACATTTACAATCCCCTCTTTTCTTTCCTTTCCTTCCTTCTTTCCTTCTTTTTTATTTGGATTTGGATTTGTTTTTCTTTTTTATATTTTTTTCTCTCTCCTGCAATTTGCCAATGTTGGCAATGTTGTCCTGCCGCTTGTGAAAAAGCGGCGTGATGCCGCCAGGGAATTTTCGCCGTTTGATGTACACAATTGATCTTAGCCGTTCTTTAGCATAAACTGGTTGACCACGTTGCAGGTGAACCCGATGAGTTTTGCGGGCCCCTTTCATTCCAAATTCCATTTTCTTTTTATCTCAAGTTGATATAAGACAAAATTTAGGCTCTCTAAGAACATATAAAGAGATGGATTAATACCATAAACGATTGCATTATTTTTTTTTTACACAATCTTTTCTCAAAACTAAATACAAGAGGGATGTATGATTGGCTATGGGGTATAATATGCTTTTAATTAAAGAATGAAATTAATTGTACAGTGATTTCAAGTTTAAAATAAAAATGCTTATTAACTTTATGTTAAATAAATAGAAATCTAATAATTCTAATTAATGCCAAAATAAATTGTGTAGCAAAAGAGTACTAGTAAATTTCTTTTTATTGTTGTAATAGTTTTCCACGTGGCATAAAATGATTGGCATAAAGGGGCGGCACGACGCCTCCTGCGGCATAGCGGAAAGTTCCTACAAGTGCTTCTCTCTTTTGAAAACTTTAATTAATAATTCAATAAAAAAAAATTTGGAATATAAAAAGGCAAGAGGATAAGGTCGGCCAGTAGACTACCCAGTAATGCCAGCTGGCGCTGTTGAGTTTTTCCCATCACGCGCTCTTACTCCCTTCTCCCGAGGCAGCCTCCTACGTGGAGGTCAACGAACATCGCAACGTGTACCTGTTCCGTGCTACCCCATGGCCCCACGCGTCTTCTTCAAAAAAAAGGGGTAGATCATCACGTGTTCTTACGGATGGCCTAAAACCTTAACGCCGAACCACTCCTTTCTTCAACACGTAAAGGACATCTCGAGCTTTACCTTACGTGTCACTGAATCAATGAAAAGGACTTGGATAACTCTGTGGTCCACTGCAGTATCTGAATATACCCACGTGGGGACACGGCTTCCGCTACCCCTGTTCACGATGTCGCCACGTGGCCGAGAAAAGTTTTTTGCGGATAAGGTAGAATTGGTGATGAGCTGGAAGGAAATGACGTCATTAGTGAAGTCACAACGATGAGGTGGCAGAACGGGTTTGGCGGAGCTGTACCTCGGTTTAACGCAACCCTCGGTCTGTGTATTCGATTGAGAAACTAGTGGTTGGGGGGCGAGAAACAGGTTTTCCATTTTTTATTTTCGGGATGTGTAATGTCAGTTTCGCCCTTGTGAATTTTGGTATGTGGGGATTACTATTAGAATGAAGGATGGCTTGGATGTAATTATGAGAAGAGAATGGGGGTATTAAAAGTAAACGCGGGTGTAACCAGGCCCCGGACTCCAGAGTCTGGTTAGGGGTCAGACCAGATTGGTGGGTGTTTTTTGTTGACTCGTATGGTGTCTTTTACCACCTAATTTCTTCAAGTTGGTTCGGGGAATGGGGGAAAAAACAAATTAATAAGAAGAAATGGTTTTGACAAAATAAGTCCATATGTTTGGATAAGGGGGAGAGAGAGAGAGGGGTAAAGAAAACAGAGAGAAGTTTCAATTCAACATTCCACTTTATTTCATTGCCAAAAACGGAAAATTGAAATACAAACATCAAGGAAAGGATTGGAAAAACATGGAAAAGATGGTCAAAAGAGATAAGGGAAATTGAATGACAGAAAGTTCAGAAGACGGAAAACCTTTTCCATACCATGAATTCACACTTAATATATTTCACAGTTTGATTAATATTCAATTCATTTATATCTTTTTAGAATCTATAAGATTTTTGAGATATGCTTAAATGTTTGATAAGGCTTGATGATCAAGCAATTGGATAAATAGATGAGAGTAGGAATATATATATATATATATATATATATATAATGAATTCAAGCTATAATACTTTTCTTTCATATTTAGAGCATAAAAACAGTCGAAGTAATGGCATTTGAGAAATTTTGGATTAATATAAAATCAACCAAGTACATGTTTATTGAGACATGTACAAGGCAGAAACAAAGAAAGAAAGATATACAATGTGGTGGTGCCCACACTTGCATTAACTCGTTAAGGTTGAGACAGAACAGAAGGTAGGACATGGTGCCTTCAAAACTTGTACCTATCTTTGAAGCTGATTTACTTATTAATTTTCCAATTTTCTCTATATCTTTATTCTTTTGCATTTGTTTATTTGATTTGCTTTATATGTTTTAGATATTACTATATGTTTATATGTCCTCGGCTTTCTCGCATGATGGCATCCATGTCCGCAGCAAGCCAGCTAAATCTACATGAACATGAATTCCTCGAAAATTCTTTTAATTTAGTGGCACTGTGGAGATGACATATTCCTCCGCAATCTCTTTCGTGATAGAGAAGGGCTGCTGCATCTCTCTTGATCTTGTACCATGGAAAATTCTTCAATATATATAGTTTAGGAGAATTGAATTTACGTGCTTGTCTTCTTCAACCCTGCAGAGCATCAATGCTTGAATGCCCCCTCGTGCCTCCCTGCACCCTCATAGTTGGCATATTCCATGAATAACCTCTAATTCTAAGTGCTACAACCTTTGTCAGGACCCCTACCGAATTAAATTCATGGACCCACCACCATTCTGAAATGAAAACCACATGACAAAATTTTGATCATGCTACTTACATCCACCATGTCACAAAATTTATGTTATTATAATGATTTTTTCTTGCAGAAAATGTAGACTTTTTGGAGTTTATGTTGAAATTTTGTTTGTTTTAATTTGTTTTGTCTCATTCTTGCTGTTCTTTTTTTTATAGATTTATGGGTTTAAGTATTTGAGCTGTCTTTTATTCGTTGCCATCGAGACTTTAGAGGACATTGGATGGATTTTCCAATGAACAAGAAAGGTAGCCATCAATGATCAAACAAGAACAATGCGTAAAACTCAATTTTGTATGCACCCAGACCCAGTAACTGACAAGCAAAACAGCATTCAAAGCTAACAAGAATGGAAAAAGGAAACGACAAAACCAATCTAGGCCTTGGGGCCAGGGGGATATCTCCAATGTGAACTTTGAGCATTCTAATTTCAAACAGAATGGCGTGGTTTTGGGACCAGAGCCGCTGACGAAAAATGTCTTGGAAGAATGAGAATAAAACTGCTGTGGAATTGGCCACCGGGATTGTTGGGAAGTGGAAGGAGACTTATGAATGGATACCCATATTCGGAGGTTTTGCCACTATTGCACTGGCATTTTCAGTTGGTGCCAACAATCTTCCAGCCCCGGTTTGTGTCTCATTCTTCCTCTTTTTTTTTTTTTTTGGGTCTTTCCATGCTTTAAACGAATCACCGCAGAATAATCAAAACACCTTACAACTTACTTGCTAGGCAAGGCATATATATGGCTATGATCATGAATTTGAACCTTGAAAACATTAAGGTCCAGCATAGATGATCTAGTGAAAAGCACACGATTCTTAAGCTTAGTAACACATGTTTTTCTTATGACATCTGAAAATGATTGTTTTTTCTTTTAATGGCAGTTCTCAACATCTGTAGGGTCAGGGGCTTTAACCCTTTTGAAGGCCTCAATCATGGCTTGCGCCATATATGTTCCTGGAGCGGCCTCTGCAAGCAACAGTACTGTTAATGCTTTATTTTCTTATGTATGGAAAACATGTCAATAGCTAATCCTAACTACTTTTCTGCTTCTTGTACTTTTACCAAACAGAAGCTCTACCCAATGCGAAGATTTCTTAAATGGATAAGCAATATTTAGTGGTAGAACCTGATGAAGTTTCGTTATCATGCAGTTCCTGAAAGAGAGTCAACCCACTGAAGGTTTCTTGATGTGGAGTATGGTAGTTGTTCTCCTCACAGCGAGTACTTTATAACCCTTTGGTCTCATTTCATTGCTTCTACTATCAATTTTATATAGAGTGGTTTGCTACCAAGAAGAGGAAAAGAAAGAAAAGGACATGACAAAGAAAAGTTCTGAACTTTTACAACTACAGTCCAACCCCATATGATTGAAACATTCTGCCACACTTTTTTTTCTTTTTCTTTGGCTTGACATTTAAGTGGATAAATGTTGCAATTATAATTCCAAAATAATAGTTCATATTTTATCTTTTGACATGGTCAGCGATATGGCTCGCACTTGCAACATACCTAGAGTTGCCGGTGTCATCTCAGCAATCAATACAGGGAGCTATGTTAGGAACCGTGCTAGCTGCAGAAGGTTTTGACTACTTACCACTATGGAGCAAGGTAAAGAGGCAAATACATTCAGTGAAATAGTCAGAACAACCCCAATCACAAGACTGAAAAGCTGTATTAAAGAATGAATCCTAACCAAAGATGCAAAATAAAAATTAAAAGAATGGTCTAAATGAATTTCATTTATCTGTGTGTGGAACATTTCGGTCCTTGTTCTAAATGATAGCATAATGCAGAATGAAAATCACAACTTTAATGGTGGAGGACTGCTCTGGATATTGCTTGAATGGACTTTTGCCCCGTTAATTGCCTGTCTTTGTGCATGTTTCCTCTTTGCTGTCTTGAAGAGTTCTCTACTTCGCCATGAAAATGCAAGGAAAAGGATTCTTATTTTCCTTCCTATTGACTACGGAAAATCTGCAGGATTGCTTTGCTTCTTCATCATGTCTCAGGTTTTTCATATTAAGCTTTTTTTTTTTTTTAATCTCAACCAATCTCAATTTTCCTATGAAAGATAGTAATCATACCCATAGAACTTCAGACATTATGATTACAGGTTTCTCTCCTTGAGGAAAAGCCAAAAGGCTTTCTATCCATATCTAATGAGAAATTGTTGGAAGACCCAAAAGATTGTTATAAGTCAGTAGCTAAGGACATCCAAAAAAAGAAAAGAGAAAAAAATAACTCTAAGCCTCCAACAAACAATGGCTATGTTGGCAGAGTTTGTCATTATTGTCAAACTAGATCATGAAAACAACGTTTGCTTAGTTTAGTGCATATAACATTATTTTCTTTTAGTTTAGTGACAATTGGGTGATTATCTTGCTTTTACACTATTGCCTACTTAATTACTGGCACAGCTTCATCTTTTGGGTGGCAGGTCATAGGAAACTATGTGGATGTTAATAGATTGACTGTTGTAATTGCTGTTGCAGGTTCTGCCTTGATTGGAGCATTATTGTCTTTGGTAAATACTACAATCACAGTATTTCTTTCACGTTATTATTGTAAATTATGTTCCCATCCAATGGTTTCTAATCTTTCACTTCTACTGCCCTAATTGGGTTTGCCGCAGGCTGTGGTGGTTCCGTTGGCAATGAAAAAGCTTGCTGCTACCGAAAATTATCGAACATCCAAGCAAAACGCATCTATGAAGGATGAATCTGTAGAAAGTCCAGTAACTGAAGGCCAGTCTAGTGGTGCAAAAGTGGATGATGATGTTGATGATATATTGAAAAACTTTATGCAGATGAGAGTCCTTGATACAGTCTATGAAGAGGAAGAAAGAAGTTGGGCTTCACCGGATGTGATCCAAAAGTCTGATCAGGTTCAACCTGTTTCTCAGTGTAGTGCTAATACTAGTGCAGAGCAATCCACTCCATTTAAACAGCTGCTTAAGTCTACACCAAACAGGCTGGTACAAACAAGGAACTTTCAGAGGATGAAAAAACCAACACCAATTGAAAATGCCATTAAGTTTGTCAGAGATATGACAAAGTCCACACTTTCCCCTGTAAGTCAGGATACTGGTTTGGTAGATGCACAATTTCGTCTGATGAAATGCTGGTTTTACTGACATGCATATATATAATTGCAATGGATTAGGTCCTTGAGTACGACAGAAGAACTCTCATTCGGCATGCCTTGGCTGAAAAATACGATGAGATAGAAGACTGCTTCAGTTTTCCTCAACTTCTAGCATCAAGCATCTTTGCGTAGGTTTACTCTTGCACTAAACCAAAAGCACCTCAATTTCCATTTATACTTACTGAAAACCTTGGCAATGCAGTAGCATAATGAAATTTATCAACAGGCATTGTAGTTTTCTCAATTAATCTTAACCATGGTATGCAGGCTTATTCAATCCGCCAGTGAGATAGCTGTTGTTGTGAATCCATTTGTAGCTATTCTTGATGTGTTCAAGCATAGATCAAAATATTCTGGAAATAGGGAAGATGCGGTGAGTTACTGCAACATTGTTTAATCATTTGTTTTTATAATTAATCAAAGTGCATTTAACCATTCATAAGAGATTATCAGGGTCATCTGCAAGTGAAGTGGTGGTTTAGAGGCATTGGAGGACTTGTTGCTGCAATGGGATTTTTCCTATGCGGGTGGAGGCTGACTCAATGCCTTGGTGGAAAGCTAACATACATGAGCAACTCCAGAGGTTGGGCATGCCAGTTGTCAACAGTGGCAGCAATGATCATAGTTGCCATGGTGAATCTACCTGTTTCGAGCGTCCATGCTTTTATTGGTTCTTTGGTAGGAGTTGGGATAGCAGATGACCTCCGGGTAAGATTTCCTCACCGTTTCTTTTCATTTTATTTTCTCCTTAAGTCAAGACAATAACTAATTTAAGGATGCTGTTTTGCAGAATGTTAACTGGAAGCTCCTATGCAAATTCCTATGTGGGTGGATCATGACCATAATCTTTAGCTGTGGGTTTGCTTATTTGACATTCTCTGCCTCCATACACACTCCGGCCTATGCAGTGCCCTGATCTTCGAGTCCATAGGCCCTTCTATTTTGCTCAATCAATGGCTATCTTGGTTCTTCATTTTCCTTCGTCACACCATTTGAATACTACTTAATCCATTCAAATTAAGAATGCATATACTGTAAAATGATTGAAAAAACTAAAAATAAAAGAAGAATGTAGTGTTTTAAGTAGTTCCTCTCAGCCATAAATGAACTACCCGTGCAGAAGTTGGTTTTAACTTTTGCCACAAATGAACAAGTGGAATTCGAATCCAAAAAAATATATTAATTCTGGCCCATGCAGGTCTCGAACCTGCGACCTTCGCGTTATTAGCACGACGCTCTAACCAACTGAGCTAATAGGCCGATTATTAAACAAATCTCTTGTGAGATCTAATAAAACTAAAATTAGTGGCTTCACTTAAAGAAAATTCCAGGCATTTTATGCTATAAACAAGCAAGAATTCTTGCCTTCACTTGTTAATGTCCAATAATTCAATCTTAAAGAAAATTTCAGGCACATTATGCTACAAACGAGCAAGAATGCTTGCCTTCATAGGGTTTATGTCAAATAATTCAATATTATTATTAATATTATTTAATTTGGACTTTTCCTTAATTTAATTTTGACCAATTTTTCTCAAAATACAAACTTATATAATATAACGACTGACATTCAATTTTGTAGTTTTTGGTCAGAAATCATGAAACAAATAATGTAGAAGTTCCAATATAATAATTTAAAGTAAAACCAGTAATGTTGGTGCAAATCTTTTAGTCCCGTCTACATCTAGGCCCGCTATTTTAAGGTCCAAAGTGCAATGAATTCCTATCCCCCCCAAGCATTTCCTTGGAACGTGAATTGTGGTGGACTTCCGTCACTTTGACTAGCATGTATAGCTAACCTAACTCCACTACTGACCAAGCAACGAGGGAGGACGGAGCTGAGGAGATAAGGTCAGACTGGAAAGGGCCCTGCTCCTGCTCTCCGTAAACCACAATTCTTTCCAATGCTCCGGATCCTTTTCTTGTGAATCAAACTTTCCTAACTTCAACGCTCATCTATTCTTTTGATGGCTGTGATGTACATATGGACAGAATGTGCGGTAGCTAAATCTAAACTGTCCCTACCAGTAGAATATTAGCCAAGAAAAAAAAAAGCATGTAATGATATGATGACATTGGATAGACATGTAAAGACTAGATCTTCCACATTCCTTTTTAGGCGTACCCGTCTTAACTTTCCTCGATGTGAGCGTATTCATCAAGAAAGCTCGTCCTTTTTTACACTAGATTTTGTTGTGGAAAATGACCATGCTAGCTTTCTCTTCATTGGGCAAAATCTCGTGCGTGAGAGAGAAACAGTTGATCTTCTTCTAATAGTAGTTAAGGGATTTCTTTTAACGATATTTGGTTTGACATTCGTACTTTCTTCTCAAGTTATGAAATGTTAATGAGATTTTTTTTATAAGTCTAATTCGGAGTTATTTTTTGTATTATACAAAAATATTAAACTTAATCTTTTTATGCAATAAAAAACTAAATTTCTGAATTTATTATTATTTTTTATATGAGATCGTGGGTGGAAGCCGGAAAATGAAGTTGAATTGAGTTCAACTGGCCGGCAACAGTCACATCTTCATCAATCTATTATAGACCTAACCATGCACGTCGGCCACGTGCCAGCAGCCATCTCTTCCTTGTTCCAGCAACCATCTTTAATTTCCACAGCGTTTCAAAAAGTTATCATCATTGCCAGATCAAGCACAAGTCACTTAAGACCTGTATGCAAATGTCAAATCTTACTCATCATAATAATCCTTCCCTTCATTTTCTTCCGTCCTCTCATTGAAAGGCCTAACCGGCCATATTCGAAGATAATGACAATTATTTGATTTATTATAAAGAATTAGTGCTATTAGCACATGCTTTTATTTGGTATTTCCATTTTCATTCTAGTTGATATATTATTCTCCATCAGAGGATGGCAGTTGCAAGAGACTGATGGTACTGTTTGATTTCTGTTAGACATTGTTGCAGAGATACATGTATTCATGTCTTCCATGAAGGGCAGTAGGGAGAGATTTGGATCAAAGTCAGCCGATTTATATGTAGAATTTCTTCCTCAAAAGCAAATCAAAATTAGTCACACCAAGAGACATAGATAGATTCAATGCATCCTACAAATAACAGATTATAGTTTTTTGATATGCCCATAGGAGCTGCCCCAAAACCTCTGCCTTTTTAGAATACATGATAATGTTTAGGGTTACGCAATGAGGCATTAATTATTGAAAAATAATATATTTTATAAAATTTAAATATCTCACATTGTTTAAGTTCGCATGCACATAAAATTGAGTCAAATATTAAAAAATCTCAAATTTCTCTCACAACCCAAGTGAATTTTTGTATTATACTATATAGCTTTTGAATCGAGTTTATACTCTGAATGAGTGAAAATTATTTATAAAAAACAGTGATGCCACGTTTTAAGTTTCTTATTGTTTTTATTTGCTTTATTTTATATTCTTTTTTTTTCATTTTTTTCTAACATTAATTGACCTAAGAACTCTGTAAAAGTCTCCTTCATCTATGTTTCTTTCCTGCCTACTTAAATATATCATGATTTGCACTACATTTACGGTCCATAATGAACTTGATTGAGATGTTAATTAACAACAGTCACCTGGATATTATGTTTTTAGCTAATAATGAAAGAGTTTACATGCCTCTTCATTATTTTAATCTAGAGGATTAGCCTTGTTGAGAGTATCTAATTTGAATTTTGTCGATTTTCCTTTGATAAAGTTTCTTGATACGAGCCACTAAATACGGGGCGTGGGTCATGCAAATTGGGCAATTGTCGTAAGTTGTAGCACTGTACTACAGTTAGTATTACCACCCTAGGCCCCCCTCCAACCCCTAGTTCCATTTTCTTCCTTTTCACTTTTTGTGGCTCCTGGTAAAACGGTTTGTAATAAAAACCCTTTAATTCGCCAGATGTTAATAAGCTCTTTTCAAAGTTGTCCTTATAAATCAAAAGCCGACGAATATTGTTCACAGATCACCCCCTGTCTTGCTCCCATATCAACCTTAAAAGAATATCATGGCTGCCTTAAGTTACACACTTTTCTTGAGTTTCATCATGGTATTTCCCATGTTCATGCCAAGAAGTACTGTTTCCGCAATTCGTATCCACCCGCCACTCACACCATCAGAGTCTCCGACTGAAGGGCCTAATTCGAACATGCTAGGCGTTCATAAAGCTCCTTCGCCGCATTTTTCACGTGGAAATGCTTTCCGAGTTCTTATGAAGGGCCGCATAGCGCCTTCCGGTCCGAGCCACAGGGGCAATGCAGAACCCGTTTTCACGAGACATCTCTTGAGAAAAAACGATATTATAAGCTTTCAAGAGCTAATTTCTGTGCCAAGCCCCGGAGTTGGCCATCGATGACACTTTTTAACTTTGTACTTGTCCTCAGGTTCTTGTTGAACTTCATTTTTTTTTGTATACTGCTCTGGTTGTTTTAGAAACCAAGTGTAGAAAAGGCAAAAGAAAGCTCAATTTTTAATAGCTGGTATAAGATTCTATCTGTATCAAGTTTTCAATTTCATCGCAATTAAATCCTTCTGCTTCGATTTTAATATTTATCGATTGTGCAGTTCCATATCGTGTGAACTGTGTCGGATCGTATATTAATAAAAAAAAACCTCATTGGCATGATGATATCCCCTTTTTCATGCTTCTTTTTGTTTTCTGTTTTCGAATGTCAATTCCTTTTATCGCAATTCGCACCGCAATGGCCACGGGTGTACGATTTCTTTTGCAGAGGATGTAGGCAGGTACAGCAGCTATAACAATTGCTGAAGAGAGAACACACGCTGCTTTTAATTTTCATAAAGTTCTTTCCAAAGCTTTAATGGTGCTGTTACTGTTTCTGGGGTCTCATGATCCCACCATCGAGGTCCCTGATCATGTGAACCAATTTTGATTTGCATCTCCGCTTTTACTATCTAGCCTAATGGCCAAAGATATCAACACAAGAACCATTCTCATTTTCCTTTTCTTTACCCTTCACAACTCTGCTCGTTTTCATGGCCTTCCCCGTACTATTTTCCAGCAGCTTGAAGTCGTAAACCGGTCCAGCATGGAATGCACACGTCCTTAGAAGTGAAAAAGAGTTAATACCCTCCCTAGTCTTTGAAAATATATAGCGAATATGGCAAAATCACATGAGAAGCATTACGTAATGAGGTTAAGCTTTCCCTACTACAAAATGGAGATTCGAAGTTTCTAGGAATTTTTACAGCACATCTGACCATGTGCCCTTTCTGAGTCTCAGTAATTAACCAACCAGCAATCGCATTATATGCTAGCATTCTACTAAAATGCATGCTGTCAATTTAGGTCACAGTTTTCCTCGGTACATATGAGAAAATTCAAGAGAAAGAAGGATTAAAGCCTTGAACCTTAAAGAAGAAGAGTAGAAAATAACATTAGATTTGAAATTAATACGAGATCATTGCAGCATAGGAATTATCCACGGAATGAATTGATCACCGACAGTTATAATTTGTGATTAACTTGCCTTTGACTATTTTTCCATGAACAAAACTTTATCACGAGATCTCAAGATGGTTGAAGAATCCAATTTGTAAGGAAAAATGGGCAGCAGACTCTCCAATCGTTGGGTTTTCTTTTTCTAATAGACGGGTCAAGATATAAAAAGCAACTAAATTTATATGCCAATTTGTGATGGATATAGACCAATGCTTTGTTTTTCATGGTTTGGACCATCGTTAATTCAAGATCCCACTGTGAGAATGTCGCTGTCATTTGTCAACTAGATTTAGCCCAAGGACGGGATCTTGCGTGGAAAGTCGACCCAACGATTTTTAGACTGGGACTGCAGATTAAATGCAAGAAAAGATATCAAAGTTTCTCTTCAACTGGAAGGTTGTTTTCCAATGGAAATTTGCTCTTAAAAGTCTTAACCCAGGTATAAGCGATAGGGATGTTCTCAGTTGGGTTCCTTCTGTCAAAAAATTGTCCACATGCATTTATTCCACATTGATCTCCAGAACGTGAAATTTCCGACATCTTGGAAAATTGCCCTCTCACATTATTAACTTGATTAAGGTGGACTAATTAGACTAGGGATCGAAAAACACGGGTGGGAATTTGGGTTAGAAAATGACCCACGTGTGGTCCAAACCCGTGGAGTCAAACCGTCAAGGATTTTCTGGGAGGCTGCTCACATGGTGGCCCTTGACTGCGTGAACTGATAGGTCATTTCAGACTACAAACCAAACCTTCCCCTTTAACACTACATTATACATTAT